GGAACCAGAAGCAAAGTTTGTGAAGTGAGATTCTGCAAATTGAGTGTCAGTTCAGTCAGTGAATAATGGTGAGCGTAGATATTAGTCACATATGTGCTCAGTGGAGGTTTGGGTTTTTTCCATTCATTATCTTGCTTTGGATAACAGAACTTCTTTGTCCTTAAGCCATGACATTGCTTAGCTGTCTTTCATATCTGTTTCACCCTTTCTTTTAAGAGTTCTGCCCTCTACCTCAGCCCTTCAACCCAGTATGGCTTTTTATCCAGTTCATCCCATCAGCCTCTTGCTTCCATCCTGTTCTGTTCACTCCTCCAAACATGATGTGGGAGTGTGAGATCTAACTTCTATTAAATATATTCTTGTAAGATTTTAATTTGTATATGAGTTGTCTTATGTTCTTCATGTGTTGTATTGCTGAAAATCAGCTATTAATCATTCTTTTACAATTCCATAATTTTTTAGAAACCCAAGAAGATAAAGGAAGGAGAAATGAGAACGGTCCAGAAAAAGGTAATTCCATCATAAACAGACCACATTCTAGTCTTGTCTGTTTCGTATTATGAACTGTTCGTTGTCCTTTGCTGTATCAAGGAGACCTTTCAAAGTGTCCCTTTTGGACAGAGGTAGAGTGAGATGTGAACCGGGAAATAAATCTCTCTTATGCCTTACTGCTCTGACTCTTTTACATACCAAGATCATAACATTTGTAAATCATGTTTGGTAAGTTGTCAGCTCATAGAGTTAATTTACAAGAAGTCAAGCTGATGCAGCAGTGTTAAACTTTGTGCTCTACTGAGCTGGATCAGATAAACCAGCAGAAAGCAGTGCAGCCATCCTGGTAGATGCTTTCCTGAATTGTCAACAAAACCTGCTTCCAGCATGATTTTTGCTGGCACAGCATTTACTTTTTAAGTCTGAAACCATTAACCACCTGACAGTAGTGGCCTGGTCTTGCCTTGCAGAGGAGAAAGGTACCAGTCCACAGGACTATAGATACTACCTGAGAATATGGGCCAAGGAAAAAGAGTCCAAGAAAGAAACCATTAAAGATCTCCCCAAAATGAGCCAGGTAAGAAGTGAATGTGAAGGTTTCCAGTTAGATGACTGACGGTTTAGTGGGGAATTCAGCAGTATGTGCAGCCATTTTGTCAGCATACTCAGTCCTTGCCTGTAGATTGCCCTGCTGTTCTGGTCTGGTGGGCTTTAGAAGCCTCTAATTCGACACGTTTGTGTCAAATTCCTCAGTGGACATGGACAAACTGCTTTGTTTCCACCAATCAAATATATTTGATTTTCTCTGCCTCCCAGACCAATTTTTCCAGTAAGATCTGCAATCTATGTTTTCCCTCCAGAGCAGTATGTTTCAAATATACCATCAGTCATATAAACTTGTTTGGCTTTTTTGGTTTTGCATCGCCTCAAGTTACAGCTGCTTTGTGGAGAGCGAAGAATGTGGATACAGGAAAGAGAGTCTGATGACTGGTGCAATCTTTTCTGTCTCTAATTTCCTTGATGAGGGCTACTTAAACCAGTTTGGAAATGCTTAAAAGCTGACCACGGAAGAGTAGCAGGACAGCAGTAAAACTTTAGGTTTTCTCAGGTGTGAATATGTGACTACTCTGTTCATCTGTCAGCAAAAAAGCCCACCACTATTAAATTGCTAGCTGTGTCTCAATTTAGCCACTACGGCAGAGAGAGGAGATTTTGCCTGTTTTGGGCTGTTCTGAATCAGTATAATAAGTTGCCACTTACTTGGTGGGGAGGCAGATAAACAAGGAGTCAGTGAAGATGGTGCCTGTTGCTTCATCTCAAGGAGCGTCTGGATGAAGGTTTTAGTCATACGGGTTTGTTTTAGGTAGTACTGCAAGGAGCGGGGAGTTGGACTCAATGATCTTTATTGGGTCCCTTCCAACTTGAGATATTCTATGATTCTATGATCTGCCACTGTCAACTTTTTTCAGCCTGAAGTATGATTTTTTGGTCTTTGTCTTTTAAAGGAACAATTCATAGAGTTATGCAAGACCCTTTACAACATGTTCAGTGAGGACCCGGTGGAGCAAGAGCTGTACCATGCAATTGCCACTGTAGCCAGTCTCCTTCTGCGAATTGGGGAGGTTGGGAAAAAATTCTCCAGCAGGCCCATGAAGAAGTCTGAGGACTGGAAAGCAAACAATACCCAAGATCCTGTGAGTGAAGAGGAGTCACCAACATCTGAACAGAGTCAGAATTCAGCAGTGGAGCAGCAACCCCAAGCTGACCATGAGGACAAAACCTGTGGAGATGCCCAGCCTGAAAAAACACAGCAGGAGAACCAAAGTCTAGGAGATGTGTCAGGGGAAGGACAAGGCTCTCCTTTACAGCTGCTATCAGATGATGAAACCAAAGATGATATGTCCATGTCTTCCTACTCCATGGTCAGCACAGGCTCCCTGCAGTGTGAAGACATTGCAGATGACACAGTCCTGGTTGGTTGTGAAGGCAGTAGTTCAGCTGCCAGGTATGGTAGTACCGTTGATACTGACTGGTCTATCTCCTTTGAGCAGATCTTGGCTTCCATGCTGACGGAAACAGCCCTTGTAAACTACTTTGAGAAAAAGGTCAACATTCTGCAGAAGATCAAAGATCAGAAGAAGGTAGAGAGGCAGTTCAGTTCATCCAGTGACTATGAACTTTCCTCCGTCTCAGGGTGAACTCGAGAAAGCAGGATTTGTCTTTGGGAGATAAAATGGGGAGATAATGTGGCAGATGGCAGGATGGTTTGGTATTTTGTGTTTGGGGTATTTTTTTGTTTAATCAGAGACCAGTAACTACACAATTACAATAGATTCCAATCGATAAGGGGCTTCTGACAGTGACTGTTTTGTGTAGGTGCTTCTTTGGCTACTGTGGCTGACAGAATTAGATTTACATTCTCAAGAGCCATTAGAACCTAATAGCCCCTGACATACAGAATTACCACCATAAATTATGCACGTCTGCCCTTTGCTATCTTTTATTTTAATGAAGTCTTATTTCAGACAGTAACTGCTCCTTGCCTGCCCTCGTTTGCTGTAGGTTCCTGGGTAACTTGCACAGCAGATGCAGCCTGGCTTGAAACCACGTTCACCTCTGGCCGCCAATCTGAGCGCTAATGCAGTGTAGTCAAGTGCTATAGGACTCTGACCTATAAATAGTCTTGTAAGTTCTTCAGTGCTGTTCCGTGACTCAGCAGCTATAATGCAAATGTGCCCCACTGCTCAGATCTGCAGGTTTCTTTCAGATGTGATTTGGCATTTTCATAGTGTATGACCACCTTCTTTTCTCCTTCAGCATTCAGGAGTTTTCAGACAAACCTGGTTTTCTAGCATTTGCTTTCCTAATTCTTTGAAAGCCGTTGTTTTTAGTTGGTCTGGGAAGGAAGCCACAAGCTCCTTGACTTCAGTGCAGAAATAATATTAGGTCAATCAATGGGCTCATGATGGTTATAATGAGGGAATGTGTTCCTAAATTAGAAGTGGGTGAATCAGCCTCAGTGTTACAGGGCAGTGGCACACTGGTCTGCTGGACTTTCCCTGTTGGTACAGAAAACAGTCATTGTTTCTTGCTGATGCTCCATTTTTACTAGCTAATGATGGGTCCAATTTTTAGGAGGACCCCTAAGAATACTCTGATCAGTCAGCCCTCACAAACGCTTGGGGCAGGAAGATGTGCAGGAGTGTTGTGCCACCTGCAGCTGCTCGGTGTGTCCTTTCTGAACATCTCCTGTACAAAGAGTCTAGCAATGGATGTGCTCTTAGAAACTACGACGCATCAAAGGGCATTTATACCTAAAGAGGAAGAATTCAAAGCAGTGTGGCCCTCTGCCATCAGCCCATTATGGGAAACCTCAACAGACTAGATCTCTTCCCAGTTAGAGACGAAATAACTGGGCGACTGAGTGACTGCTCTTTTAAATCAATTAAGACCAGAAGAAACTAAGAGTTAGCCTTCTGGTAGTAGGGCGTGCGCTCCGAGGAAGGAGAATTAATGCTGTTCCTACAGATAAATTCATCTCAGTACGCAGGCACCTGCCTTGCAGGGCCGGGGCAAGAAATGCTGCTGCTCGGCGAGAGCAGACCCTGCACTGAAGGCAAGGTTTGCTACAGCTTTTGGCTGGCATTTGGAATATAAAGGATGGGAAGGACACGTGCGGTTGGATGTTCCCATTTAACACTACTCGGTGTGCTACTCAGTGTTAATTCCTCCTTGTGACGTTCTCTGTATGTATTCACAGCTGGTACATATTTCTTATTTCACTGCCTCCTCTGTCCGGCATCACTGGAGAGCAGCCATTAGTAAAACTGCTTTTACTAATTATTCAGTAATTTATTGTAATTTTTTAAAAGTACAAATAATACATGTGATTTTACACTGTCTGTCTTATCTGTCATGTACTCAATAAATGAACCAGAATCCTATAGGCAACCTTGACTGCCTTTTATTTTTCTGAGCTCATGGAATGTTGCTTGTTCCTTGTCCGTGGTGGTTATCTAAAAGAGCAGGCTTGGTGTGACTGGAGTCTGACTGGGTCTCTCCTCTTTCCTCTCCTCTTTCCTCTCCTCTTTCCTCTCCTCTTTCCTCTCCTCTTTCCTCTCCTCTTTCCTCTCCTCTTTCCTCTCCTCTTTCCTCTTTCCTCTCCTCTTTCCTCTCTCCTCTTTCCTCTCTCCTCTTTCCTCTCTCCTCTTTCCTCTCTCCTCTTTCCTCTCCTCTTTCCTCTCCTCTCTCCTCTCCTCTTTCCTCTCCTCTTTCCTCTCCTCTTTCCTCTTTCCTCTCCTCTTTCCTCTCTCCTCTTTCCTCTCTCCTCTTTCCTCTCTCCTCTTTCCTCTCTCCTCTTTCCTCTCCTCTTTCCTCTCCTCTTTCCTTCCCTCTCCCCTTCCCTCCTCTAGTTATTATTCCATATATTTTCTTTTTATATGACACAGACTGACGCAGCTTCAGGTGGGTGCAGAAATGGCTGTTGATTACGCAGGTGCAAACACGACATGTTTTTCCTCCTGGAGAAGGTTACCGTTGATGAACAAACACGCGTCCAGGCCGCCCTCGCAAACTGCTGCTCTGTGGGCTGCCAGGCGCTGCGTGAAGTCTTCCCGTTTGAAGACCGCTCGGGCCAGTTAATTGTTAATTGGTTTTTTTTTTTAAGGAAGGGTAAGAGGCTGCTTGTAAAACAGCCTGATGCCCTAGCTGGAGCGATTTCTCCCTGTGGAACGCTCGCGGTCGCTTACCGGCGCTCGGCACCGGGAGGGGGAAGCCGGGGAGGAGCTCGGCGGACTCGGGGGGCAGAGCGGGAGGCTCGCTGGTAGCGGGGGTGTCACGTGGCCGGAAGGCGCGCGTTGCCATGGCGAGGG